GCTAACCCTAAAGCCTAAATTTGACCTAAAGGCTAAAGCTCCCCACGGAAGGTGCCGCGAGCTGCTCTCTCTAAGCATCGCCCTGGCTACCTGGCATCCCGGGACGGTTGCCCCGTTTGGGCTTGGGAGCCGTGGGGGCAATTGCCTCGGAACGGATGTGCAGTTCTCAGCACTTGCTCAGTGCAAGGGCTGCAACATGAACTCCTTAGATGCCGTAGCTTCAGCGGGATTTCACATCCCTGTGTCGGAGATCGAAGTCCTCATTCAGACGATGGCCAGGCACGCTGAGAACGTGAGGTTAAAAAGTGCCTGGAGCTCAACAGGGCTTGCCGGCTTAGTGCGCATAGAGTCTATCTCAGGGTCATATAGCAAGATCCAACATCTTTAGACCTGTTGCTGCTTTTCTGCTCTCCGCATTGGCCTGCAGTACAGGCAACTATTGATCAGTCTGCGCGAGTCTTCATCTCTTCGCCAGTGGTGTTCGTTCCCAATCGTAATTTTTAAGGCCTAGCAAAATGGTTAGACATCCACAGCTCAACTGTGGCACCTGGCATCATGCCAGATTGGCAATAGCGCATGATTGACAAACGCTGGCCGTCGGCTTTGCTTGCTCCACTCATTCAGGTAGAAGACAGCTTAGATGCACGTGTGTCATGGGTGTTTGAAGTCGATGGAGTTGAACGGCATCCTCGGAAAGGGAGTGCACTTCTGCAAGGCGTGAAGCTTTGGAACGCTCGGGGGTGCTTGGTTTTTGACAGGGTTCTATACGGGATCTAAATGGGTTCTAGCCGGGTCCGATAAGTGATCACTAAACAATCAGCTTCATTGCAGGTGGAGGCTCACGACTTGTTAGTGAAGTTGTCACCGCTGTCAATAGTTGGTTCTGCTTCGATGTCTTCCGCTGCCAGCGAGGTGCCGCTCCAAGAGGTTCTTTCAAAGTCCTCTACTGGTAGTGCAGAAGCACAGTAGTGGTTAGCCAATAAAGTTACTCTATGAACATCTATGAACTAAGTAAGGCACATCTATCTCGTGTTTTCTTGCACGATTTCTGGGGGCTGCTTTGCCTCGGAGTTTGCAAAACGCCGTTGTTTGCTGTTTGTTTTGTGCTGTTGATTCGGACAATGGGCGTGGCCACAGGACTTACCACAAGTGCTGTCGGACGGATTTCAACGAAGCTGCAGACAGCATCCCCGCAAATAGCAAGTGCTGATGCGGACTGTTTTTGATGCCATGCCACGCTGCGACCTTTCCTGCTGTTTTGTAATGCTTGGAGCTGGGAGAGCGTGTGGCAACAACTTGGCCGGCCGAAGGGGACCTCGCCTATCGAATGCGCGCGCGCGCGCAGATGGCGACCCTGTAAACCCTGAACGCGGCTTCCCCGCAACTTGGGAGGAGGGTCGGGGGCCAGAAAGCATCGCCGGTCCACACGCGACAGGCAGCAGGTGCCTGTCGGACGATTCCGGATCCCCAGTTGAAAGGGAGAGGAATGCCCACGGGATGTGTTGCACGCAGCGAGGCGATGAAATGGTCAAAGGCGGTGAAGAGACCCGTAGCCATGTGGGTAGTTGTCAAAATTATGGTCCCTTTTGGGGCACCCTAAATATTTCGTGCCGTATTATAATAAGGACCCAGAAAGGGACCATGATTTTGACAACCACCCATGTAATATAGGCTCAAAGCAACATCAAGACTCGAACGCCTGCACCCAGAAGGCCCGCAACCCAATCATTACCCTCAGCTCCTGGACCATCTTGACCCCCAGACCTCCTGCTTCTTGAACCCTAAGACCCTATGAAGCCCCCAAACCGTAAACCCTACGGCCCCAAATCGAGGCCTCCTCACCCCCCATTGCGAGTAATCCAAGTCCCAGGGTGAAACGGTGAAACCCTGATAGAATCCGATTAGAACCTTTGTGGACCCATGTGGAGCCCATACTTTTACGGTGCCCCTAGAAGAAACCTGGAAAGCCTCTGAGGCCGCCCGAAGCCCCGCAACCTAGACCCCACATGAAGCCCAGGTGCCGCCCGATCCTCCAGTATCTCGGCCTAAAGATGCAAGCAATAGAGGGGTTTAAGGATGAGCGCGCAGCCCGCGTGCAAAATCGGACGTCTTTGCGCTCTCCCAAAGTGTTGTTTCAGCACAGGCTATAAGGCCTTGTTGACGACAGCGGCATAACCACGCCCTGTCATCCCATGGCGCATAGGTCGAGGTTTTGCAATCTGAGCCGCGATGAATCCTTGGCAGGGAAAGGCTGCCGTAGTGCAGTGCAGGGAAACCTCCCGAAGGGGCACGCAGATGGGCACCATAATAAGCGGCTTCCAGCCGGTCCATGCCGGGCCGCTCATGGCAAGCGACAGGCAGCAGGTACCTGTCGGAAGATGTCGGAAGATTCCTGTGCCCGAGTGCAAAGAGAGAGGAATGCTCACAGGATGTGTTGGAATCAGGCGAGTCAAGTGCGGAAAGAGTGATACTCCAAGCCGCGAGGCCATGGAATGGTCAGAGGCGGCGGTGAAGGAAAGAACTCCACCAACGCGCAAGCACCACGCCGCTGTGTACCTTCCGGAGCAGCAGAAGATGCTGGTCTTCGGGGGTTTTAGTCCGCCCCTGAGTCCGCGGCCGCGCGGCCGCGCCACAATCCTTTCGTGCAGAAAGCCAGCCACGCCCTGTTGCTTGAGCCAAGGAGGATTCGGCGGATGCCCCGGCCTTGGGGGGAGGGGCCTCTGTCGAGGCAGAGTTGCGATGGATTGAGAGCCAGCAGCCTTGCTTGAGACTTCAACGATCTCTGGAGCCTGGATGTGAAGGCGCGAGACCCGTGCAAGGAGCACAAGATTTGTTTCTGGTTACCACATGTCCTGAAGTGTGTGTTGGTGTACTGCGGTTGCTGCTTGCGGGCGCGCCAGCAACAGTCGGTGGTAACTCCAGAGCCCACCAAGGACGAACGCTGAAGACTCTGCAAATTTCTGAATATTTGTATCGCTCCCCCTCGTCCCAAGTCCCCAAACTCAGCGCTGAATCCCATGTCTTTGGGACTTGACAATCGGAAGTTGGCTCAGTGTGCAGACATCTGGAGCTTTCCATGTCCAGGTTCCTTAGCTTGCGCTCAAAGGCAGGCGCACGCCCCGCATGCAACGGCGGGCGCTTTTGCGTTCTGCCGAAATGTTGTGTCAGCAGAAGGCACAGACCAAGGCCTAGTGAACGACAGTGCAATGACCATGCCCTGTCATCCCATGCCATATAGGCCGAGGTCAGTTTGATTTCGAGGTTTTTCAATCTGAGCCCCGATGAATCCTTGGCAGGGAAAGGCTGCCGTAGTGCAGTGCAGGGAAACCTCCTGAAGGGGCACGCAGATGGGCACCATAATAAGCGGCTTCCAGCCGGTCCATGCCGGGCCGCTCGTGGCAAGCGACAGGCAGCAGGTACCTGTCGGAAGATGTCGGAAGATTCCTGTGCCCGAGTGCAGAGAGAGAGGAATGCTCACAGGATGTCTTGGAATCAGGCGAGTCAAGTGCGGAAAGAGTGATACTCCAAGCCGCGAGGCCATGGAATGGTCAGAGGCGGCGGTGAAAGGAGGAACTCCACCAAAGCGCAGCGGCCACGCCGCTGTGTACCTTCCGGAGCAGCAGCAGATGCTGGTCTTCGGGGGTTATAGTCCGCCCCTGAGTCCGCGGCCGCGCGGCCGCGCCAGGGTCCTTTCGTG